CTGATATGGGAGCAGGACTGCAAAAGTGGAGAATATGCCAAAACTTTAACAAAGTTAACAAACTCACCATGATAGCACCAATGCCACAAGGTAATATCCATGTGAAGCAATTATAACTTAGTGGACATAGGTACACATTGGTTTTTTATGTTGAAGGGCAAGGGTATTTTTGGTACTGATGAATGCCCATGGGCCTGATGGAAGTTCTATCAACATTTGCAGAGATGACAGCCACGCACCTTCATGACTTCATCACAGATGTAACCATGGAGTTATTCATTGATGATGGAGCCTGTGCAGCAGATAGCTATGAGGAAATGATGGAAAAACTTGTGCACATCTTTCAGCAATGTTGGGAACACAACTTGTCACTTTCACCAACCAAGTGCTGGTTATTCATGACAGAAACAACATTCACAGGCACCACAATAGGACCAAAGGGTTTACAACCAGACCTAGCAAAACTCATGGCAATCATCAAATGGGAACAACCACCAGATGCATTGAATTTAGAATTATTTTTAGGACTAACAAGTCACTTTAGGGATATTATACAGAGTTATTCAATGAGAGAAGGGCCTCTATGCAACCTAGTGAAAGCAGTGCCACTCACAGTCCCATACATGAAGAACAGCTACTGACAAATTCTATGGAGCTTCAAACTGTGGGATCTATGGATAGACAAACATACCACAGCTTTTCTAGACCTCAAAGCAGCACTAGTTTCAAAACCAATCTTGCAAGCCCCAAAATATGATGGGTCAAACTTTGTCATTACCTCAGATGGATGTACTGAAGGATTTGCTGCAGTACTATCACAATGTTCATGCACCAAGAGTCCATCAGGGAAATGGACTGAAAGACTACATCATATTGCCTTTGCATCAAAGTGCACATTCTCAATGGAACAGAACTACAAGCCATTTCTACTGGAGTTTGCAGCATTAAAATTCTCCCTTGATAAGTTCTCTGACATCATATGGGGATTTCCTGTCAAAGTTGAAACTGACTGCCAAGCACTGAAAGACATTCTCATTAGCAACAGACTCAATGCTGCACACACAAGATGAAGGGATGGCATCCTTGCACACAACATCATCAACATAAGGCACATTCCCAGGAAACTCAATATAATCACCAATGGACTCAGCCACTAGTGAAAAGGGCATTCATGAAATATTGGACTGCTAGATGGTAGTGAATGGACCATCAGTGAAGATTGGGAAGTGCAGTCAGGACTAATCAATGACTTACTACAGATATCCACAGAAGTTGAAGACCCCATCATGTCAAGCCTATGGCAATGCTTCATGGAGGAACCAATTTTCCTAGAGGTAATAGAGGCCATGCCTCAAGTTGATCAAGGTAAGGAGGTAAGGAGGTAAGGAGGTAAGGAATCACAAGAAGGCACAACACAGATCTTCACAGTACATAATCAAGGAAGGTAAGCTATGGCGATTGTGAGAAGAAACAGCAGTGCAAACATGAAGTCAAGTGGAGTGCATTACACACACAGAAGCTAAAGAGTTAGCAGTCAAGCAGCATAGCAAAGGAGGGCATTGGGGATGAGATGCCATAAAAATTCCCTAACAGACCACATTTACAGTTCAAAACTTGATGCATCAATTCTGACAGCCATCAGCAACTGCACAAAATGCAAGAACTTCAGTATGCCACACTTGTTGAACCCACCATCATCCATTCAAGCTCTTAGTCAAAGACTACCTTACATTACATAAAGCTAAGGGATTCCACACTGTAGGAGTGTATCTCAACACATTCTCACAACATGTGTGGGCATTTAAGTACAAGATGGCTGGTACCACAAAGAGCATGGTAGATAGCCTGGGACACATCTTCCAGGGCTTTACCACATCAGAAACATTCATGTCTGATGGAGGTCAACACTTCAACAATGCAGCAGTGAAAGATTTTCATGCTAAGTGGTCCTGTAACACTCACATTGTGGCAGCTTACTTGCCATGGATCAATGGTCTAGTAGAGGGCACAAATAAGATTCTCCTTCATGTACTGAAATGAATGTGTGCACTGAATATAGGGGAGGACAATGAAACCCTCACATGGGATAATCTCCCTCTCAACTAGCCCAACCATTTGGATGATGCCATCATTGCACTCAACCACTGCATCCTCCCCACATTGAAATTTTCACCAAAAGAGCTGCTATTAGGGCAAATTGTCAACACCACCCCACACACAGATCTTAGCAACAGTGCATCAGCCACACATGTGTTGGACATAAACACACACATGGCATACAGTGGCTCAAAAAAATGTCTCAATGTTTGTGACTTTTCATGTAATTGCTGTATTATGAGCTAGGGTGTGAGAATATGACTAAGCCATAGGGAGCTGTGGAAAAGCTCTGCTTCTAAGCTTCATGTTTGATCCCTATAGCGTGGGAAGATTATGTCATCAAGTGAAGATATGGTTAATTTAATTTGGTGACTCATTGAGACACTTTTTTGACTTTCAATTTGGCCAATACAATCTCTATAATTCTAGTACTTGATGCTTCCTCATGTTGCTCTAATTACTTCCACCACTCTTCTATGCATACTATCTATCAATTTGAGGCATTCCTCATCAACAATTTTGCCCCACTCTGCTGCAACTCTCTTCCATAGCTAAAATAGCTCCTATTATTATCCTCAGCTCTTCTAATCTGTATACCAGGCAGATTGCTACCAAAACTGGCCTGAGCAGGGTTACTATCATTAGGATCATAAAAAAGTCATGCCAGATAAGAAAAATATCAAACTAGATTGTCCTTTCAAGCTTATGCCATATAGCAAAAAATCTCTTGTTCATAATATTCCAACTAGGTAGGCTGCCAATGCTACTCAAGCCACCAAATTTATTAATTACATCATCTACACTGCTCTCTCCACTCAAATAGTCAGGAATACTCCTAAGGCAGCCAATCTTAAAGCTGTAAACAGGCAGAAAAAGCCTTTCCTGTCTTCAGCCTAGAGGAGAAGGAGACCAGCCTTGGCTTTAAAGCCTCAATATTGGATTATTGAGGACTGGAATAGGGCTACCTGGTCAGATGAGACCAAAATCAATAGGATGGGGTCAGATGGCTAGGAATATATGTGATAAAAGGCAGAACAACTACTAGAACAAAAAAAGTCAAGAAAACACTAAAGTATGTAAAGTAGGAAACTTGATGGTATGGTGTTGTATAAGGTGGAATGGAGTAGGAATTCTCTGTGAGGTAGGGGAGAGGATGAATGCAGAGCAGCACATTTCAATTTTGGAAACTATCTGCTCAGAAGCATGCAAGAATCAAGAATTATTGAATAAGATGTTACCTTCTAACAAGACAATGTCCCTAAGCATACTTCAAGTTGACCATAAAATGGTTTGAAAACTATGGCATCAGTGTGCTATCATAGTAAGTCCAGTCCTCAGACCTCAACCCTATTGAACAGCCCTGGTAATTGCTCAAGATATCACTTGCAGTCTATCAAGAACCTCAATAGGGGTTATTTCAGCTATGAGAGAGAGTTGCAGCAGAGTGGGGCAAAATTGTTGATGAGGAATGCCTCAAATTGATAGATAGTATGCATAGAAGAGTGGTGGAAGTAATTAGAGCAACATGAGGAAGCATCAAGTACTAAAATTATAGAGATTGTATTGGCCAAACTGAAAGTCAAAAAAGTGTCTCAATGAGTCACCAAATTAAATTAACCATATCTTCACTTGATGACATAATCTTCCCACGCTATAGGGATCAAACATGAAGCTTAGAAGCAGAGCTTTTCCACAGCTCCCTATGGCTTAGTCATATTCTCACACCCTAGCTCATAATACAGCAATTACATGAAAAGTCACAAACATTGAGACACTTTTTTGAGCCACTGTATGTGACACAGCAGCAACTCAACAGGTATGACACCACAGTAAGATACACACTCAAGTGAAAAGCAGCATTTGATAAAAGGGTCCTTGAATGCAAACTGGGTGAGGTTATATTCCATCAAGGGCAACTAATCCAATTCTACCACAGCAGTCTTGATTATACATTTGTAGCCAAGCACAAGCTAGTACCCAAATGGTCAGCACCCCATCATATCACAACACATCTACACAACTCATACAAGATAGAAACCATCAACAGAAACACAATACCAGGAGAGTTCCATGCTCAACATCTACAAGCATTTAAGATTTCATGGGGAGACAAACAGAGCATAATCTTGTGCCACAGCAAGTTGTGCCAGTTGGCTAGGTGTGTTAGAGCCCAATGAAAAGTTGGTAAAAGCTTGAATAAATAGTATGTGGTTGTATTTGGTTCCTGGCTATTAGGATTAAGGCTCTCTACACACCAACTAGTTTGGAGTTTGTTCCAGCTACTGTGAGTGTGAGGGGAATAAGGTTGTGCTGAGTTTCAATTGTTCACGTGATTTCAGATAGTCTAGTAAGCCGGTTGGGAAGGAGCCTTGGTAATAACCTACAGCAAAGTGATGCTGATTGCTGGTGATTGTCGATTATTGGTGCATAGACGCACGTGACGACGGGATGCGTGCTAGTAGAGTATGACTGACAGGAATTCAAACCTTATATACTTGCTTGCATTGTATCACCTATTCCCTCACTCCATTCCATCGAGATTGATGGGGCATCTGTGTTTTTTCATTCTCTCACTGCGAGCGAGTAGACACTAACACATTACACTAGTGTTTACCAGTGTCTAGGTGCTCAAGTCCGTTCCATCGAGATTTAGGTCTTCACCAGTGCCTAAATTTAACATCGATAGTATGCGTCTGATATTTCCATCAATGAGCTAATGATATTCTCTCTAAATACTCGTCCAAGCTAATTACGCCAATTAACATCAGTGGTCTACAAATGATATTGAAAACGTATGCCACAACCCAAGAGAAAATACGAAAGCGCAAGATTACTGTAGTGTACACATTAACATGATCGTTAACGGCGCCACCATGAATCTAACCCGAAATGAAATTGCATGCTCAAATGGCTAGAGACGCAAGATTGAAGTAATGATCCACGACCAATCCTGCACAAACCAACGCTGCGCCATGACGACCTGCCTGTAGTACGATAGGATATCAGAATCAGCTCGTGATGATATCAGTTCAACGTACTGTGAATTTCTCCCAGCTGTCTTTAGGATCATTATGATCAAATGACCATATGTGCCAGAGACAGAGGAGGAAGGGCGCAATGACACTCATCACGTAGAACGGGAGATGCTGGTCGTTCAAGTACCCGGCCCACATGAGACACGCAAAGAAAATCACACCGAATACGCTCAATGCCAGACGAATGCCATCGCCAAGACGGACCGCCATAGACTTAACTCCAGCCTTTTCGTCATCCTTCTTGTCCTGAGATGAGTAATTAACACCCATGTTTCCATGTAGAATTAAATGGACTAGTTACCTGACACGCGTAGATAGTGTCGTAAAGACACGTCCAGCTAGGGATGCACCGTCAGCCCCTCGAAGAAAAAAACGCCTTGCTGGCACTTACCAGCACGATGCAACTGCGACGTTCAGGATCATACCCCAATCGAACTGGCCCGTAATGGCCACCCACGTGAATGGGACGGCCCAGCTAGCAGCAAAACCTTGGAACTAGATAAGACGGTAAACAAATTTGGAGTTCGAAAAAACCGTACCGAGGTACAAAGACGGCCAATACATCCAACGCTTCATCAGGGGATACGTCCCGCCACAGGCAGGGAGTCCAACAAGACCAAGTGTGAGACTAGAGCAGCTTATCAGAGATATCTTGATACTAGTTGAATGGCCTACTCACGCCGTGGGGCCAGCAGTTGAGAACATGTAAAAGATGGCAGCAACGAGCACGAACAGAAGAACCGAGGCCTCTGTCATAGTGACAGCTCCAGACGCGATCGGTCGGCCTTTCGAACGTTCTAATTGAACAGCGTCAAGAGATTAGTGACAGTCAGGACGGAATTGACATACCAACTTTGCGATCGAAGTCGCGATCAAGCATATCATTTATGACACAGCCCGCACTATGTACCAGCGTGCCCAACAATGCATAGAACAAAGTGTTCATGATGACCTCATTCATGGGTAATGCAACATGGTATGATGCTGCCAGGGAGCCCCACGCTAGGTACGATGAATTAAACCAACAAACAATGTCCCGCATGCACCTCCTGACTCACCAAAAGGCCAGAACATGAAGTCGGACCCCACTGGAAACCAGTGAATCCTGGTGAGCTCGGCCAATGCTCTTGCCTTGGAGGGCATTGTGACAAGTGTGCAAGGAGGTAAAAAAAAAAAGTGGAATGGAGGACCAGGTACACCAGCCGTGCTCATTTTATATGCCTACATGAGCGCTTGGAAAGATGTTTTCGAATATGCTGTAACTTAAGGCGAGCTTCTTGACAAATATTCCAAAATACGTTCAACTTGAAATTGACCGGATTCGGATCCTTAACGGGTGCCACTGGATCCGCTTCATGTTCGCCTCGCATCTTTGTTTGATAAGGACCAGAAAAGCATTGTGTGATGGCTGGTGAGCATAAGTCGGTCCTATTTGTAAACGTGAGGTAAGTACATCATCGCAAACAAATGTGCGCTCATGATGTTCCGCGAGACTCGACTGTGACTTTGATTGCACAGGTCAATAAATCCCTGTGCCAATCAGCCGCTCAACCCGCATGAAGTCTTTGCTGGGGGGAAATGGTTTCATTTCAGCCAATTGGACCAAAATTTGCCTTCCCCGCTTCCTGTAAATGGGACGATATTTGATATCATTGATAAGGGCACAAGAGAGCCTAGGTCAAGATAAGATTCTCGGGACACAGGAAACATGCAATTTCGGCTTATGCAGGACGTACGACAGTCCTGGGATCACTTCGGCAGGGATTGGTGGTTTAATGCGGATCTATCGATAAGGTATACGAGCACCGCATGCCTGATGGATTAGAGAGAGTCGTATGTTGGCGATGATGGATTTATGTACTGGATGCCGGGAGTGGCATCTTTGATCTCGCATGGGGGCAAGCCAAGTGAATATTTTCCAACATACTAGAGAAAATGGGCCTTGCTGGGAGTTCACGGCATGACAACTGGTCCATTCAACACTGCCCAAATTCCGTACGATCGAATCAGCATCTAGCCTGTCAAAGGAAGATCGAACTAGGAGCTCGATTGAAGCGCTGTTTGATTAGCACTATCCTATTCCAGTCAAGAAAGTATTGTGGGTACTTACGAAGGAGATAGATTGTACAAGGCCGCGGCGGCAGGAGATGACCTATAATGACCCTAGTGTGGGAACGAAGGAATGGCGCTCTTCGATCACGTAAGGTTACCCAGTATTTTTTCAAAATTCAGTGGTCTGCGAAAATTTGAAACATGGCCAGGATTTGTGGGTAACCGGGCAGGTGCAACACTTCGCAGATGGGCGGTTAAAGACTATTTAATAGGGATACTCAATTCTAAAATGTCGTTGTCGCTTGGGACGCTCACACCGTAACCTATGCTACGCGCGTCTAGACTCTAAACGCGTAGTACGGCACGCAGCGCCAACAACTTGAACTTTACAAATTATCTCAACCCTTGTGACACAGCAATCTATAGCGATATATCGGAGGTGTATTATTATATTCATATACATACTGCATAGTACCAGGCATACTCTATGGAAAGGGTCAGAAAAGGTTTAGGAACACTGCTGATCAGAGGTTTATGATAGGTTGGATTTTAAGACTGCAATTGTTTCAAAGGCGCTGTGCGCCGTCACGCGCAAGGTTTAGGCACGAGTATGATGTGTTTAGCAAGGCTTGGCACTCGGTACCCGGTGCTCGCCGAAGGGTCCTACTACGTACGATATTTTAGAGTTGAGTATCCCCATTTATTTATTAAACATATTGACCCTGTTATCATCCGGGTCTTTCTCGGTTCCTTTGAACGACTCAAATAAACAAAGTTCGGACTCGACGCGTACGAGAGTATCACATCACTGTGCCTAATTTAGATGCAAAAATCCTGGTAAAGGCAGTGGCTTCGTTCGGATGTTGTGTTATTTGTATCTTAGCGTGTGGCATATTAAGGAATACAATAACATGATGGATAGTCTTGTACAAGGGCACACATCGCACAACCGCGAAGCCTGCTCGTGACCGACGACCGTAAAATAAAGCGCGCCTTGAGTCGCTGGAGCAGGACGAGAGCAAAGAGTTTGGTGCGGTGAAGTGCGTATGCCATCAAATGGGAGAGTTATACTAGAAGCAGGGGGGGTACTCTGATAAAGGGGTGGGTAAAAAGCATATAGCCGCGAAGCTTGCGGCTCGTGGCCGTAAAATGGACCAGAGGGTCTTGTTGTAGGTTGGTTAGACTGAGGGTTGGGTGGCACTTAGGCTATCATCATTCACACAGTGCACCAACAAGAGTACTGAACTGCGAGACGGGAAGTGGAGTAGAACGAGTGAGTCGTCAAACTCGCTAGTCACGAGTGCAGTGATATAACTGTGTATAGTACGCCGCGACCACAGACACAGCTCCGGCACTCCTCTAATATCCGGTTGAAGGGCACAAGCATGCAGGATGGCACTGGCCTGAATGGTATGGTTATTCGGGACGCTGGTCGCTGCTGATGCGTAACGTAATGTTGGGAATCGCAGGGCTGGTGTCTGTTGCCTACAGGTTGTGCCCCTGGGTTTCGAGTGACATGGCGGCGCTGCGATACTATGGGCTAAATCACTGTTAAGAATGGAATGGCGTAATAAAATGCATACCTTGAGTCCTTGACGAGTGATACTTCTTAGGTACTATGAGTGGAATCACGATCACAAGTGCCAATGCTCAGTGACGCGTGAATATCGATGTGCTCTGTACTATTCGGTCGTCAAAAGCTCGTCCTCCAATAACACCACCCAGAAGTGTCAAGTTCACGCCGTCATGGTTGACATTGCGGTTGAGCCTGCTCATTGCCGTTCGTGGTGGCCAGATATGTTATAAAGTGTTGAAAAAAGGAGAGCTAATACAATAAAAATTCAAGTCAACATGTCGAAGATGCCACAAGGAGAATATCAAACCGACAAGGCTGAAACTGAAGTTAAAAGAGGAGTTGAAACCAAGGTCTGCCAGGCGTCCTTTCGCTGTAAATTATGACGTGAAGGGTGTCCGGACATTATTTGCTCCGAGTCAAAGATGATAACAGGGTACGTACAGCACCCGGGTATGTGGAAATTGTCCGATCACTGTTCAAACGTTCAAACGTTCACGCGCACGTTCCAGCCTATCTTCCATCCGAGTCCGATGGACGTCCCATGACTTCTGATTCGGACCAATGTCAACTACATTTAGAAAGTTTTCATAACTCCGCGCTTCGACTGCATCTCGACTTGTCCGTGGTTATATAAGGCCCTGAGCTGAGCTTACTCAGCTGCAGGTATCTGTAAGTTAAAATAGACGAGGACAGAAGTCTTTGAACAAAGCCCGTGAGTTGAAGTACTCGATCAACTGTTTGACGCATCCTGTCACTTGTGCTGTTTCACAGCCTCTGGTATATGTTGATGGTTTCCATGCATGATGATGGTGATCACCGGCAGTCTTTGTACTAGACTTCCCAACTTGATGATGATGATTTACAAAAGTAGCTACATATCGTGAGCACTCTCGGCGGCCTGTCGCTCTAGATCTAATAACAGATAAAAGCGGCTAAGTGGATTTTGCATGTTCTAGTCCATCAATATGAAGTAAGGCTCAACAATGTTGGTTGCTATAATTTTAATATACTCACTTTTCCAAAAAAAAAAAAAGTGAAGATAGCTGTGAGATTTTCTTAAAGACTTTATGTACATAAATCCGGTTGTTGCTTATGATTCTGAGTGAAATTCCGTTCATTACAAAAGCAAGCGCTTGTACACAATATTGGCACTATTTTTTCCTCATTCAGTGACGCAAGCAAACAGACTCAGTGTATCTCGTCAATGTTTCACGCGTGACAACACAGTATAGAGTCGACCATGCGCAAAAGGATCAGCTCTGAAATCCAGAAGTACTGTTTTTGACAAAGTCAGTCCTTAGCATCCATTGAACAGTTGCGTAAGCAAGTATCAAGGAAAAGTGTTTGCGATTCACTGTCCAGTAGCCAGACTTCGATGAATCGAGGGTAGAGGGCTATTATGCGTGCTCTTGCATTTCTAACTAATCCATTTTCGACAGAGAGATTGCGCCGTATTATGCAATTGACCTTCAGGTCCAGGGGGATTGTCGAGAATTTTATCACCAAATTCGTCAATAAATAGATTGCGTGGTGAGACAATGGTGAGAGGAAAACGCGACCGAGGCGTGCCTGAGCATCTACAAGTATGTGTGGTGGAAAAGGAGTCCAGAGAGCGGTTGGCGAATCCTAGGTTTCAGCGATCTTGAGCAAGCAACAGAGCCGGATCAACAAATAGAGCAACTGAAGACCAAACAACTTTGGACCAGCTTTCGAGGGGGCCCCGCGACACGTCCGGATTCCCCCCCCCTTCGCCACCCCGGCCACACGCTCCGGAAGGGGTTGAGGAAACGTCATCAGATGGAGGGTCTGCCACGACATTGTCACCAGGTCCTAACACGATGTCTTTGATGGAAAGGACACGGCGCTGATGCTCGATGCGTAAAATGGTCACCTACCTCGCACTATGACGTGCTTAGAAGCAGAGGTAAGGAGTTTTGGGCAGCCGAGAATAAGCTTGTGGATAATAACAACGAACATGTGCGTGAATATTTTACTGTGGTGCAAAAACGTATTAGGAGATGTCCATGTCAAAACCGTGATCTTGTTTCAGTATCGGAATAACTGTCTCGAGCAACTTTCCCACCTATAGTATGGTGAGAATAGGCAATGCACGATTTCCATCTCTGAGAGATTGTAATTTCTATGAGAATCGTGTGAGTGATGTAAGGATGCCGCGAAGAGCTGGAAAGGAACGGACATCATTGACATATAGATATAAAAAGTGAGTAGCCGCGCGGCGGGAACGGCGGACCGATGGAGGCTTGTCAAGTTGTCTCACATCACGACATTCATAAATCTAGAGGTGCGCCGCGGGAAGGGGGGAGCACAGGGGCCCCCTATGACTAGACAGTCAGTACGTAGAGTAATACTCTCAAAGACAAAAACTTGAATGTTTTTTTTTAAAAAAAGAGTGAACGATGCATGAGATAAACGCCATCCTCGACAGAAGCTGTATTAGCTCCAAAGATAAAACGATGACGGCTGAGTGTTAAGTCACCGTCAGGCAAAGTAATGT